TTTAGATTGGCTGGATCTAAGCAAGTATCTGTTGAATCTTCATTCTTCTCCCCGCAAAAAATAAATAAATAATCATTCTTCTGGAGCCAAAATTTTGTTGCCCAAAATGACCCAAATGTCTGTTTTTGTCATGGAGGCTATTTTTGGTTTTATGTTGGAAATGCTCTTAGTAGATAGCTTAAGACTCAAATCCTGGTGGAGGCGTGGTTTACGTTGGAATCTTTTAAACTGTCGCAACGACATTATCCAACCATGTGTAGAGCTGAGTAATACTATGACTCGCACATGGACCATTGAGTCAAGGATCTACTACTACGAGCGAGTAGAAAATAGTAGACAGACGAACAGGTCTCACATGGTTATTACTACTCCCTCCGTTCACTTTTGTAAGTCGTTTCAGACAACTAAAAATGGGATGTTTTGTATGATGTCTGAAATTTCTTCAGCGCCTTATAAAAGTGAACAGAGAGAGTAGTAAAATTTGCAAAGCTTGTTTTTCATGTCTCTCCTTATACATTTTTTTATCTTTTCTTTTTATTTAGTTTTCTTCTCTTTTTATGTCCGCGTGTCATTTTTCTCATGTGTGTATCTGGTTTGCTTTGCTTTACTACGTGTTGTTTAGTAGTAAAATGTGTCGGTCGATTATAATCTACTGGGAACAAGAAGTAGCACCCAAGGCCGAGTCGGGTGAGCCTCGGCCTAAGATGTGGACGGTCAGGGCGCCGGCAATGAGGGATCAGACGAGAACTTGCTGGAGGCGGGGCACGGGAGATAGGGGAGAGAAATCAGGTTGGATGCAATCTCTTATAATTAAATGATGAGGCAATGCCCCCGTTTGGGGGGGGGAGGTTGGATCCGATCGAATCAAACTGTGCTTTGTTAGTTCTAATCCAGAAAACTGTTGGAGGAAGAAGAAACATATCTGGCGGTTTGTTTTCCGATCCAACGATTTGAATGCAATTGATTGAAATTGGAAAATTAAGTCGCCTCAGGTTTAGGTGGTCCTTTTCAATTAGCCATTGCACATCAGATAATCCCAGAATAATTGTGGAAGGTGGTCGTGACAATGCCAGTTTAAACAACTATTCAAATTTAGACAATGAGAAGGGGAATCTTTTAGATTTTTCATGAAGTTCAATCCAGAAAATAATAATCAAGAGGACATCCTAGAGGTGAAACTTATGACGATTTATCTGGCCAAGAGACATGGACGGTCTAATTAACACATTGAGTCAGAAAATACTAGTATCAATTAGGCGAACTTGTACCTCTTTTCTCTCGGCTAATTGCATCATCTTGGTGTAGAGACCGAAGATCAATACTTCTAAAATAAACTTATGAAATGTAGTGTTTGTTTAAAGCTCTTGGGGCCTAATAGACTGACCTAGCCGAGGACGAACAAGCTCATGGCATTGATATTTTGTTTCAAGTTCTCATTATATCTTTCTTTCTTTTTTTGCGGGTGAAATTCTCATTATATCTGACCTGCCCGGAGAGAAACAAACATAACAAATTTGGTTCTTACTACTCAGGGACCAGCTCATAACCAAGGAATTCTTACCTATTAAAGTGACGGAAAACCAATGGCTTCATGTCATTACCTCTACCATGCACCAAAGTCTTTTATATGGAGTGGGCCTTCCCAAAGCCAAAGATGAATAGCTTATTCCTCGTTTTATTTCTCTGTAGTGGAATTATTGATTCCTGTTCCGTGCATTATTTGTTTCATATTTGCATGCTAGGGACTGGAATATTGTAGGTGGGAGCATAGGAGGCACCAGGAACTATCGATGATCAACGAATAATCAAAACAGCAACTCGACATTGCCCTGCTGCATCTTCCTCCTACTCTACCATACTTGCTTTGTCTTAGCCGGTCACTGATGACAAGTGTACTGGATGGATCCACCTAGTGTAGATTCTAATTTTAGATTGGCTGGATCTAAGCAAGTATCTGTTGAATCTTCATTCTTCTCCCCGCAAAAAATAAATAAATAATCATTCTTCTGGAGCCAAAATTTTGTTGCCCAAAATGACCCAAATGTCTGTTTTTGTCATGGAGGCTATTTTTGGTTTTATGTTGGAAATGCTCTTAGTAGATAGCTTAAGACTCAAATCCTGGTGGAGGCGTGGTTTACGTTGGAATCTTTTAAACTGTCGCAACGACATTATCCAACCATGTGTAGAGCTGAGTAATACTATGACTCGCACATGGACCATTGAGTCAAGGATCTACTACTACGAGCGAGTAGAAAATAGTAGACAGACGAACAGGTCTCACATGGTTATTACTACTCCCTCCGTTCACTTTTGTAAGTCGTTTCAGACAACTAAAAATGGGATGTTTTGTATGATGTCTGAAATTTCTTCAGCGCCTTATAAAAGTGAACAGAGAGAGTAGTAAAATTTGCAAAGCTTGTTTTTCATGTCTCTCCTTATACATTTTTTTATCTTTTCTTTTTATTTAGTTTTCTTCTCTTTTTATGTCCGCGTGTCATTTTTCTCATGTGTGTATCTGGTTTGCTTTGCTTTACTACGTGTTGTTTAGTAGTAAAATGTGTCGGTCGATTATAATCTACTGGGAACAAGAAGTAGCACCCAAGGCCGAGTCGGGTGAGCCTCGGCCTAAGATGTGGACGGTCAGGGCGCCGGCAATGAGGGATCAGACGAGAACTTGCTGGAGGCGGGGCACGGGAGATAGGGGAGAGAAATCAGGTTGGATGCAATCTCTTATAATTAAATGATGAGGCAATGCCCCCGTTTGGGGGGGGGAGGTTGGATCCGATCGAATCAAACTGTGCTTTGTTAGTTCTAATCCAGAAAACTGTTGGAGGAAGAAGAAACATATCTGGCGGTTTGTTTTCCGATCCAACGATTTGAATGCAATTGATTGAAATTGGAAACAATTAAGTCGCCTCAGATTTAGGTGGTCCTTTTTAATTTGCCGTTGCATATCAGATAATCCCAGAGTAATTGTGAAAGGTGGTCGTGATTGTGCCAGTTCAAACACATTCCTGAAGTCGGAGCTGCAGAGGAGGTGACTCTGCGGTGACGATGACACGAGACGGATGCTCGGTTCCGGTGCCGGCTCAACGCAGGCCCAGTGCTTTTCCCTTGCAATGCTCGTCGACAGAGTCGGAGCTGCCTGGTCGTCAGCGCGTGTGGTGGACTGTTTGGCATCGACCGACACAGGCCTTGGCGCTTGAGCGGTGACGGCTTCATCGGTGGTCGTTGAAGGTGGAGTCGCCCTCGCGGAGGAGTGATGACGATGACACCGGATTGCAATCTCGACGGCGTGTGTGCGTTCTTGTGTGGGTTGCCAGGTCGCCCTGTTTGCCTTGTTTTTGCGGGCATGTTGTGACGGTTTTCGCCTGGTTTTCCGTTAATTAATTGGGCAACTCTCTTCGACATTTTTTAATGAATCAGGCCCTAAGGGACCGCGTTTCAAAAAAATGGACAATGAGGAGAAGGGGAATCTTTTGAGATTTTCCCGAAAGTTCAGTCCCCAAAATCGTTATAAAATAAACTATGAAATGTAGTGTTTGTTTAAAGCTCTTGTAGCCTAATAGACTGACCGTGCCGAGGACAAACAAGCTGAGGGCATTAATCTTTTGTTCGAAGTTCTCATTGTATCTGACGTACCCGGAGAGAAACAAGCACAACACCAAGGAATTCTTACCTATTAAAGTGACGGAAAACCAATGGCTTCATGTCACTACCTCTACCATGCACCAAAGTCTTTTATATGGAGTGAGCCTTCCCAAAGCTAAAGATGAATAGCTTATTCCTCGTCATATCTCTTTAGTGGAATTATTGATTTATTCCGTGCATTATTTGTTTCATATTTGTACACTAGGGACTGGAATATTGCAGGCGTAGGCATAGGAGGCACCAGGAACTATCGATGATCAGCGGATAATCAAAACAGCAGCTGGACGCAGCCCCGCTGCATCTTCCTCCTACTCTACCATACCAGCCAGTACTGCCTGGAACCACCTAGTGCAGATTCTTGATGATGATCAGCCTAAGCAAGTCTCGGTTGAATCTTCATTCTTCTGGTCTTTTTCTTTTTCTTTTGAAGCCTATATATGCCGACTTAGTGAATGTTAAATATAACTTTCACATTAAATTTATTTGAAAGCTCAACCTTCCCTTTGAAAATCTTTATTCGGTATCGACGTTGAGGAGTGGCTTTAACAAATAGGACAAGCTAAAATTAGAATGGTTATAAGAAAATGCAGGTTCTGCGATCAAGATGGAAATACTATGCATCTGTTTTTATCTTCTCATTTGCACGCTTTTACGTTGGACTATTCAAAACCGTCGCAATGACATTATCCAAACCAATGCATATTTAGAGCTGAACAGGCATCTCAGATGGACCAATGAGTCAAGAGACTATGGATGGGTAGGAAAACAGTAGACAGGCAGACAGTTCTCAGATGCATACACAAACACACGAAAACGCAGAGCCCACAGCAAGAACAGGTGCAGATTAATTCCAACGAATTCGCTGGCAGAAATCCACCTTGGCTAGCTAGCCCTGACTGAATACCAGAATAACAAGGAGGGTAAACCATAGACCGGATTATGGCAATAGGAAAAGGAATCAACGATTCAAGAAACTATGGATGATAGAAAAACACTAGACAGACAGGGCAGGTCTCAGATGCATACGCTACAAAGCAGACACACGAAAACGCAGAGCTCACTGAAAGAGCAGGGCAAACTAATTCCAACGTTACGAGAATAACAGGGAAGGTAAACCATAAACCAAACGATAGCATAGGAAATGGAACTGTGAATCAAGAACCGAACCTCTTGCCTGATCTGGTTTCCTTCTTTCATATACATGCATGTATAAGTTTTTGCCACAAACAAGCACCAATGCGGGGTAAATATTCATCCATCAGGAAACAGAAAAAACTATATCTCAGACCATATGTAAACCCCTCCTCTACTTCCACTTATCTCGCGATGAATAAAGCTGTAGGAACTTGCTAAGAGCTGACCGTGGAAACCATTTCGTATTCGCTCGACGGCTTCCGTCTCTTGGAGCAGAGGAAGAAGGCGCCCCCAAGCCACTGCTGAAAGAAGAGGAGCGTGGCCAGCAGGACCACCCCACAAGGTATGACGATGTCCCACGCGAGGCTGAAGAGGTCGTCGCGAGAGCTCGCGTAGATGTAGGATGGCCTCATGCTGCGCACAAAGTGATGGGTCCTGTATGCATCGTATGCATGAGGCAGCGCACGCAGCATGGTGCCCCCAATGTAAAACACAGGGGAAAGCGCTCTGACTTTAGAAGCTGAGAACACATTCAGGATGACCTGGGGGAGCAGGAACCCATCGAGCAATAAGCCCCCGTAAGGGACAATGTCCTCCCAGAATGTATGTCGTGACGGCATGAGGCGAGCAATTTGCCTCATCATCCTTCTGCTATGGTTGGTTCTCATGTGCACAATCGCTGTTATAACTCCACCTATGATGTACAGCGGCAAGCACACCCAGAGCACTTTCCTCTCTGCAGCCCATGCCTCGTGTTTGCTTCCATCCACAGAAGACCGTGCAGACCATGCCAACTGAAGAAGGCGCAGCTGCAGCAGAAACGTCGCCATTGTGATGATTCGCACCATGACCTCATTCACCTCAAGCCAACCACCACCGGAGAAGGGAACAGTCTGTTTGTTGCTGTGCTTGAAAAGAGCCTCAAAGTTGAGCACAAGAGGGGTCATGTAACCCAGCGCGAGCACGACAAGCATAGTGATTGACATAGCAGGGAGCGCTTCAGGGACCTTCTTGACATGGAACAGCTGCACAGCAATGAAGGCACACGACAGAGTCATTGAGACGAGGGCCATGATGCTTTCCAAGTCCATTCGCCATATTGATTCTTCCACTTGGCCTATGTACATCCCATATGAATCAATGTCCAGCGTTTCAAAGAAAAGAGGGTCGGTCTTGCCCCTCAAGCTTATAATTTTCCCCTGGACATGTTGTGCTGCTTTCGCATCCAGACTAGCAAAGTGAGCCGTTATCAGAATCTTACAGTCTGAGGAGGAGACATTAACCCGTCGACATGCAATCAGGCACAAGGAGCCTGTCTCGGTGTCATAAACACCTTCCGCCGAGATCTGTTGCCGCTGAAATGTTGCTTGTGACCAACGCCCGACATAGCGGATATTGTAGCTGACATTAAGTAACCTCTGCTTCGTCTCCAGCACTGCAGGGCGAGTGGAAAGGTCTGTGAGCACAAAAGAGCTCCCATCAGACAACATGGATCCGATTGTGATCGGCGATGCGTACCCAGAACCACCCCATTTCTGCAAGTTGAACCGGAACGCCAAGTCTAGATACGAATTTCTATCTGGGAACTTGCCCTTCCTCTTCTTGTTCAGGCCATACTGCTTGTAATACTTGGTTGCCTCATCAACCTTAGTGTAGTTGTACTTCAAACCCCCAAAGTTACCCCTAACCGCAGTTGAATATCCGGCAATGCCCTGGTCCCTTTTCAGGCTGGCGTTCCAGACCAACCCTGCAGAAAAGCTCCGTTCCTGGATCGACCACACTCCCGGGAACCAGAAGGTCATCCCAATCCCGCACTCACCGACCGCCAATTCCGCACGGGATGATCCTGAGTTTACCACATGGCATCCTTTCAAGCATAACCTGTTGGAATTGTGATCCCAGAAGCCCTCTGCCACAATCGCCTTCTCGGTGACCATGAAGTAATACCTGGAATAATCTGACATGTTGGAGAAGGCCACATAGACACGCACAGCGCCGTCGGCCGCGCAGTGCACCCTGTTGACGAACATGTGCGTCTGGTTGATCCCCAGCGAGGAGGCGGCCGCCTCGCCGCCGTTGCCGTAGTCCAGCCTAAACCCCGGCCTTAGCAGCGACCTGAGGCCGGGGCAGGTGAAGTTCCTCCCGCCGAACAGCTGGCGGACGTCGCGGCCGTCGGCGGGCGGGCGAGGGCAGGACGCGCTCTCGGCGTAGGCGTACCCCTCCTCCGCGTAGGCGAGGAGCGAGACGGGCTCGAACGCCACGCCGGGGCCGGGGCCGGTGCTCTCGAGGCGGCCGGTGACGAAGAGGCTGGAGAGGTTGGCGGGGCGGGGGAAGCGGAGGCGGAGCACGGCGGCGAGGAGCGCGACGGGGCGGCCGTCGGCGGCGCGGCCGGAGCCCGAGCCGACCATGCAGAGGCCCCCGGAGGCGGAGGAGTAGTAGCCGTGGAGGTCGAAGACGAGGGAGCCGCGGCGGCCGACGAAGCGCGGGAGGCGCGGGCGGAGGCGGTGCTGCTGGCCGTCGTACTCGAAGAGGCGGCGGTTGCGGCCTGTAGGCCAGATGCCGTTGCGGTTGCCGCGGCCGCCGCCGCCGGAGAAGGAGAGCGTGGCGGCGACGCGGAGGACGGAGGCGTCGGCGGTGGGGAGGACGGAGGTGGGGAGCAGCGCGAAGGAGCGCGGGAGGCGGGAGGCGCCGTCCGGGCCGAAGAGGAGGTCCCCGCCGCCGGAGAAGTAGCCGGTGGAGAGCTGGAGCGCGGGGGCGGGGGCGGCGGAGGGGGAGGCGAGGCCGGCCCCCGCGGGGAGGTCCGGCACGGCGGGCGGGGCCGGGCAGTGGGCGGAGTAGGACGGGGGCGCGGGCGCGGAGGAGGTCCCGGCGGCCCGGATCAGGAGCAAGAGGAGGAGGAGGAGGAGCGGCGGCGCCATTGGTGAGGCGCGGAGGTGGGGATTGAGATCTCCTTCCCCTCTCCGCTTGGTGTAGATGGAAGTGGAGAGGAGACGACTCACCGGGAGGGACAGGGGATTGACTCTCTGTGATGTGGGGTTTAAGCCACCCCGGTGGTGGTAGATGGGGAATTTTACCTCACTTTTATGTTAGTATTTCTTTATCTTTTTATATTTTTGTCAAAATGCTCGCGTCGTTTTAAAAATGCGACCCGTATAAGTTTTGTCTGAAGTCAATGGTTTCTGAATTTGACCAAATTTGAGAAAAGGTTATATTGACTTGTCTGACAATGAGTCGATGTCGGTGGAAACATCATGGTGTTATTACAGGTGTCGTTGTGTTTCTCGATAAACTTGCTCAAACTTAAAGGAAATAGGTTTGACTTGGGACAGAATA